ATCTTAAACATGTAAAAAATAAATAAAATAAAAGCAATGGAGAGTTAAAAATAGAAAAAAAAAAGAAACAAACCTTAAACATAAAGATACATATAGATTTAAAGTAAAGGTATGAAAAAAGATAAAACGTGCTAATTAGAAGAAAGTGAGAAGAGCAATATTGATTTTGGACAAAGCAGACTTCAGAGCAAGGGAAGTTATCAGAGCTAAAGAGGAACATTACACAGTAATAAATGAGTCAATCCTCCAAGAAGAAATAACAGTCCTTAATGGAAATGCTCCTAACAAAGCATCGAAATAGGTGACTCAAAAACTGATAGACCTGCAAAGAGAAATAGATGAATTCACTGTTTTGGGTGGAGACTTCAACACCCCTTTACCAAAAATGGACAGATGTAGCAAATGGAAAATCATTAAGGATATAGTTGAACTCAATAGACATCTATAGACTACTTCATCTAATGGCAGAATAGACATTCTTCTGAAGGTGACATAGGACGTTCATCAAGACAGACCACATTCTGAGACATAAAACACATCTTAACAAATTTAAAGGACACAGTGTGTACTATCACGCCATGATAGAATTAGATTAGAAATTAATAGCAGAAAGATAGTTAGAAAATCCCCAAACACCTAGAGATTAAACAATCTACTTCTAAACAACACGTGGGTCAAATAAGAAATCTCAGAAGAAATTTTAAAATAGTCTGAATTATATAAAAGTGAAAACACAACTTACCAAAATTTGTGCAATGTAACAAAAGCAGTGCTTAGAAGGGACTTTATAGCAATGAATGCATAAAGCTAGGTGACAGGAATCTATGGAAATTCATCAGGTTATTCTTTTTACTTTTACATGTTGAAATATTCTACAATAAAAAGGACAAGAGGCTCGGTGCCTGTGGCTCAAGTGGCTAAGGCACCAGCCACATACACCTAAGGTGGCGGGTTCGAATCCAGCTGGGGCCCGCCAAATAACAATGATGGCTGTAACCAAAAAATAGCCAGGCGTTGTGGCAGGCGCCTGTGGTCCCAGCTACTTGGGAGGTGGAGGCAGGAGACTCGCTTGAGCCCAGGAGTTGGAGGTTGCTGTGAGCTGTGATGCCACAGCACTCTACCCAGGGGGACAGCTTGAGACTCTGTCTCAAAAAAAAAAAAATAAAAAGGACAAGAAAAGGACAAGAAAACCCAGTGGAATCTGTGTGTTTGGTGAAGAGATGGGTCCCTGGGGATGGATTCTGTCCAAGTAGGACAGGTCTGGGGGAAGTTACTTACCTCTTTTTGCCTCTATCTTCTCATCTGCAAAATAGGGTTTGGATAATAGTGCATCCCCCGTAGAGTGGTGTGCTATCAAAGGACTAAATATATGTAAAACACATACAGTAGGGCCTTGCATGGGGTAAGAGCGACATAACATTTGCTATTAGTCATAGAGCATATGAAGCATCCTCAAGTACCTCGTTGCTTCAACCAAAATTGAATCTCCATGGACCCCCACAGCTCGGCCTCATTTGAGCCTCACAATAGCCCCTGGAGATAAACATTATTCCTATTCTCACTGGGCAGATGAGGACGCTGAGACTTAGCCCATGAAGAAGTAGTTAGTGACCAAACTTGCACCAGAGTCAGGTCTTCTGACCCCATCCCAAGTCCTTGCCAATGCTCCTAGGCCACCTCTAAGGGATGAGTTAGAGGTTAACATTAGATCCTCAGCATTGCATGAACAAAACTCTCTTTGACCCTTGTGGCCATCACCCCCTGCACCTTGGTTGGGGGAAGACCACCCGGCTAGTGTGGAAATGTTTTCACTCATGGGTGTCTCTTGTTCCCAGTCTGGGCAGGGGAACGACACTGGGCTGAGGTAGCCCTTCTGTCCATGGTTCAGCCCCAGGCAGGCCTCCCTCCTATGGTCAAGGAGCTTGTCCAGCTAAGCACTGGGTGGGCCTGAGCATAGAGCTGTGGGTGGGGCTGAGGAAATAAAACAGACAGGAGTCACCCCAAGGCTGTAGCTCAGGAAGGAGGTGTCCTCAAAGCTCCAGGGAGCCAAAATGCAAGTCTAGGATTTCAAACCCAGCTTCTATCAAAGGGAGAAGCCCTGGGTCTGCAAAAGGATTGTTATTATGAGTGTTTTCCTTCCCAAGGACAGCCCCTCCACCCCAGGGTCTTTGAATGTAAATTCATAACAACATGAAACTTGTGATTTATTGAATGACACACAGTGCACAAAGCTTGATGGACTTTTTTCTCATTCAGACCTCTTTATTCACAATATACTGTGAAGTAGGTATTTGTTTTTATTCAAACAACACAGTAGTTTGGAAAATCAGTCATAAAAGATTCCCTCCACCTTCACCATCACTGACCCTGCCTTCCAGAGGTAGCCACTGATTACACCGCTCATATGTTCTTCCTGATGTTGATGTATCTTTAATCAACATTATGTATACACACACATAGCTTGTTTATTTTTATGAAAATAGGATGATACTTGGGCGGCGCCAGTGGCTCAGTGGGTAGGGCCCTGGCCCCACATACCGAGGGTGGCGAGTTCAAACCTGGCCCCGGCCAAACTACAACAAAAAAAATAGCCGGGCATTGTGGCAGGCACCTGTAATCCCAGCGACTCGGGAGGCTGAGGCAGGAGAATCGCTTAAGCCCAGGAGTTGGTGGTTGCCGTGAACTGTGTGACGCTATAGCACTCTACCGAGGGCAATAAAGTGAGACTTTGTCTCTACAAAAAAAAAAAAAAAAAAGAAAGTAGGATCATACTTTATTCACAACTTGCTTTTTCCATGTATGCATCTTTTTTCCAGTCCCATGTATATAAATATGGGAGAGACTATAAGGAAATATGAAATAAGCAAAAAAAACACAGGGTTTCTCCAAGAGAAAACTCTGCTATTTAGAGCACACCCTCTGGGTTATCTGATTCTAGCCTTTGAGCCGTTTTTACAGCTCTGTAACTGTTAGGGAGCAAAGGACACACAGTGACCCTTGATTCTGGACATGCAAATGGGCTCTGTCCACCCTCCTCCACTGTGCAAAAGCCAGTTAGTTCATTGTGTCCATTTGAAAATCAGTATGATTGATCTATAAACACATCTGTTCTTTGAATTCTCCTTAATTCCAGTTATCATATCTTCTTGGTTCACTCATTAATAATGATGATACATGTTCATTTTTTATCAATTTCAAAGTCGAATTTTCCCTTGTTTTAGAACAATAGGCATTACTTTCTCTACAGTAAAGAAGGGGGAAATTCAGACTTTGAAAAACTAAGCAATGTCCACAGCAACGCTATTGGTGAATAGCAGTTTGGATTGAAATGCTGATCTGTCTGCCCTAGGAGTTACTGTGCAATCTGGCTTGTGCAATTTCAAAGGAACAGATACTAGCTATCTGCCAGGCACCAGATGACGCATTGTAGGTATATTAATGTGTTTACCCCTCCCATTAGCCTAGGAGGTGAGTGTTGACTTGTTACCCCTCACCACCCACCCCGCAAAAGGCAGCCCTGAAAGGAGATGTGAGGGGGTGGTGGTGTGTGGCCTGGGCAGCAGCCAAACCAGCAGCCCAGCAGCAAAGCTGTAGCCCCTACTGACCGATGGTGCTACTACTAGGCCCTCCTGGCTCTCTATTCCTTCATCTGTCTTTCAGTCAACTGAACTCACTCCAGTTTGTCACTGGGATGAATTATCAGTAATCAAGCTGCAGCTCCAGACTCTTTCCAGGGCTGCCAAAAACACAATCTGGGTGGCTTACACAAAAAGAAATTCCTTCTCTTACAGTTTGGGAGGCCAGAAGACCAAAATCAAGGTGTTGGTAGAGCCATGCTCCCTCTGAGGGCTGGAGGAGAAATCTCCCTGGCCTCTCCTACTTTCTGGTGCTGGCTGGCCGTCTTTGGCATTCCTTGGCTTGTAGATGTGTCACTCCAATTCTCTGTCTTCCCACGGTATTCTCACTGCGTGTTTTCACACCCTCTTCTTTCTGTGCCAGTCTCTGAATCCAAACTTCTTCCTTTATAAGGACACCAGTCATATTGAATCCGGACCCCACCTAAATACCTACCTTTGTTAAATCTGCAAAGACCCTATTTCCAAATAAAGTCACATCCTGAAGTCTTGGGGTTAGGATTTCAATGTACCTTTCCTCTAGACGAGGGGTTTTTTTACACAGTTCAGCCCACAGCAAGCAGCATGTTGGAGTTTAACCTCTACCAAAATGAGTTCCATGTCTCAGAAAACCTTCTGTGGAGAGAAGGCTGCTGTAGTCTCACAGATTTGGAAAACCCTTCCTGCTAGATCCCAAGTGCTAATGCACAGCTGTCATTACCATGGTGACATCCTGAAAAACAGTGCAGCAAAGAAACCTGTTGACCTTAAGTTGGCATCTCCCAAACTTATTTAAGGGTGAGAGTTGGGGGGTGTTGTCATGGTAGTGGTGATTTTAATAGTGTTCTAGGGAGCATAATTGGGAAACTCACATAACACTTGACCTTGAAACCACTGACTGAGGTCAACACTTTCATCCTGACTCAGCTGTTTACTGAATATGTAACCTTGAGCAATGCATTTTCTTTCTGAGTCTCAGCTTCCCCATTTTTAAAGTGAAAATTCCTAATTGATCACTTAGGGTAAGTTCACTGCTAACAGAAACAAACCCCCAGAAGTATAATGGCTTGGCAACCATAGAATGTAAGTCTATTTCTTCCTCAGGACCGGGCAGGGAACATGCTGGATGAGCAATCTTTGAGCAATCTTTCTTCCATACGGGCTTCAAAGACTCAGAGTGACAGGTGTTCTGCCTTTTTTTCTTTTTTCTTTTTTTTTTAGATAGAGTGTTACTCTGTCACCCTGGCATCAGCCCAGCTCACAGCAACCTCAAACTCCCGGGTTCAAATGAGCCTTCAGCCTTAGCCTCCCAAGTAGCTAGGACTACAGGTGCCTTCCACAAGGCCTGACTAGTTTTTCTATTTTTAGTGGAGACAGGGTCGGACTTTTGCTTAGGCTGAGCTCAAACTCCTGAGTTCCAGACCTTGTTCTGCCATTTAAAATCTGTAGCTTCCAAGGTCAAGGCAGAGGTTTTTCCTGATGCATCTGGGCAGAAAGGGATGAGGACGGAGCACAGAAGTGCTTCCTGGGAGGCCCCTGGGGACGGCTCTGCAGTGGAGCAGCTCACTTCTGCTCACAATCCATGGATCAGAGCTCAGTGAACTCAATCCTAGGTCTGGAACTAACCATAAGGAGCTGGAAAATGTGGCCCCGGATGAGCAGCTATTTCCTAGCAGGACTCCCGCTAAAGGAAGAGCAGCCAGCCCACTCTGCCACATGTACTTTGCAGGTGTATTCTAAGGATCAAATGAGGCTGTGACATGTGCAGAGTCCTCAGCATCATCCACAACTAAATAAATGTTGAGAATGTGAAAGGGAAAGACATATGAATGGGAAGTGCCTTGAGGGATGGAACCCGAGACAGGCCCTGGTGCATAACACAAGTGTGTCCCCCTGCACCCCCTCTTCCCAAGGCACGCTGGTGGCCAGATCTGTGTGTGGTAGGGGATGGGAGCACAGTCCCCAGGGTGTTGTGTGACCAAAGCAGCTTCTTCTCCTGCTTCCTGTCCAGCCAGATGGAAAAGCTGCAGCTCCAGACTCTTGATAGCCTCGTGGCTTCCAAGGCAGCGGCCCAGCGGACTGCAAACCCCACCTTGCAGAGCCAGCTTGAGTGTAGGCCACCCGCCAGCCCCTCAGCCAGCCCTGGAGCACACCCCACTTGCAGATACTCGGGAGGCTAGTGGGAGGGAATGGAGGTTTCCTCCAGAACACCATGACCACAGACTCCCTGCAATGGCCTCCAGACACTGTGGAAACCCAGGGCTTTGTTTTCCTCCAGGCTTCGGCAGTGCAGCCACAACGCACAGGTGGGAACCATCTCCAGACCTCCCAGCCCTGGGCTCCCTTGCTCCAACCCAGCAGTCTGTGAGGGACCAAAAGGGGTAAGTAGAGTAAGTTCTTTGCCTTCAAAGAACATACACATTATTTTTAAGTCTACATTAATTACTAAAACAACTGTACCTCCAATCACATCCCCAGCCCCTCAACAAGAACAAGTTGCAACAATGCGGCCCCTCCCCTGCTTTCTCTGAGTGTAAATAAGCTTCTCAGAGCTGCCATCAATGTGTACACACGACCTTGCTTTTCACTCTTCTCACTCTGCTTTGTATACACTTTCCCACGGATCTGGGACGACCCGGAGCTGAGTACTTCACAGCACTGCAAAATATGCAGAAGACATATATTTTGTTTTAGAGTCTTAATACCCAGAACATCTGGGTAATACTCAGACAACTGGAGAGATTCTTGCTGACGCTGCACATCTCCAAACCCAAGTCCCAGTGCAGAGAGAAAATGTTGTGCTGTCCATCTGTGCGCATGCACATGGGTTTTCTCAAGCACAGTGGACCGCAGGGTGTGACAGTTAGTGATTTCTTCCCAGGAAGTGGCCCGACCTGCAGGAGTTACTGCTGGCTGCAGCTGCTAGTACAGCCCAAATTATTTATTGGTTTTGATTTCTGCAATGTTCCCCATGTAAATTAAAATGTGACATTATTATACCCTCTGACAGCCCACTAGCGACCTTTAGCACTCTCCCCCCACTGCAGCCATTATTCAGCATAATTTGACTGGTTTCAGGCAAGTTAGGAGGGTGGGAAGGGATGGTGGGGGCAAGGGAAGGCAGAGTCCAAATTAGAAACAGATTTAAAGAGTATTTGCAGGGAATTAGGCAGCGGGCCAGAGCGCTCGCTGGCAGCGTGTGGAACCCCTCTTCAGGGACTGTCAGCTCCTCCTAGGTTTCCACAGCGGATGTTTCCCGGCCAGAGTACAGCTGGGTTTTAGTTGTCAAACCCCAGCCAAGACATCTGAGAAGGGGGTGGGGTGCCCATGTGCACGTGTGTACGCGTCCAGGCCACATGTGTGCACACTTGACCCCAAGGATGCTCCCAACAGTTCCACACATTCACACCTGTAAAGGTACCTCCCCACACAACACAAGGGCATCTAGGGAGATGCAGGACAGACACACTTACACATGTGCACCCGAAGACTCTGTGTCCCACCAACACTTTCATCCCGCTCTCCCCCACCCCTCTTTTAAGACAGCTGTGTGACCTCAGGCTAACACGTTGGCCTCTCTGAACCTCTGAGTCTTTAACTGGAGCAAAAAATGGCAGCTGTGATGGTCACCGTGAGAAACAGAAGTTAACATCAGGTATGCTATACTACAACTGGATTCCCTAAAATACTGTCATTTTGATGAAGTCCAGGCTGACTGCTTAAAATAAATACTCAGACATCACAATCAGGCTGAAATATAAGGCCAGGGTTAAATGAGAGCAGACAGCCAACCAAAGATGGAAAGAAAGGATATTCAAGGCTGAAGCTCATCTGCCTTAGCAGGCACCTCATTTGAATAGGTAAGTTTCAAAAATGTATGCCAGGGAAAGGCTGTTTAATCGTCAAATAGGATGATGTGGAAGGTGAAGCTAGAGTGACCGGGTCAGAATTTTTTCCTGCTAAAAAGTGGTTGGATGCTCATTACATGGGCAGGACCTCGCTCAACAGGAGCGAGGTGGTTATCTGGAGGCTCTGCTCAGAAGAACCCCCACCACGCCCCCTTCACATCACAGCAAATGCCCAGGCCTGGCCCCTGCTGAGCCACCACGCCTGCAACCCATCATGGCATGGGGTGCCAGGGCCAGGTCTTTCCTTCTGTGACAGGGCCGAGCTCTGCTTGTCCTCTAAGGTTAGAGAAGAGGCAGCTGAGAGGGCAGTGACTTACTTACCGAAGATCCAGTTTAAAGGTAGCACAGCTGACATGACAGTCTCAGACTCTGACTCCAGATCTCATCCTGCTCCTCATTTGTGCTGTGAACAGGCACTGTGAGCAAACTTCAACTCATCTGCTTCTATTTCTCTTTAAATAGAAAATGTTTTGGTTTTTGTCATCAATCTCTACCAAGGAGTAGATAGACCTAGAGTAAGTGATTAGGATGCATTTTTTATCTGCATACAGGGTATCAGAGAAATGATAATATACAGAGACATGGGCCCAATACAATAAGCACATAACAGTTCTGGTTTGCAGCTAATAAAACTGTGGTTTAATTAAATTTATTTTAAGATAGACATTGATTTTGTAATATGTCCACTGTTAGAGGATTCACAGGTTATTTGAATTTTTTTTTTTGACACAGAGTCTCTCTATGTTGCCCTCAGTAGAGTGCCAGTGCCATGGCATCACAGCTCATAGCAACCTCAAACTCTTGGGCTTAAGTGATTCTCTTGCCTCAGCCTCCCAAGTAGCTGGACTATAGGCACCCGCTACAATGCCTGGCTACTTTTTTTTGTTGTAGTTGGCATTGTTGTTTGGCAGGCCAGGACCAGGTTTGAACCCACTGGCCCCAGCGTATGTGGCCGGTGCCCAAGCCACTTAGCTACAAGTGCCAAGCCCTTATTTGATTTTGTAAAACATATTTAAAGAAAATCAAATTCTTTTATTATTAAATACTTAACAGTCAGAAAAAGATTTGCATTATGGTATTAAAGTTAATATTTTTGATGAAAAAAAGAAACAGAGGAAGTCAGAAAAACAATCACAAAAATATCCTCTTATCTCTTCTGAGACAGCTGCATTGGAACCTGGGACCATCTGAAGTTGTCACGATAATGTCAAATATGAGGAAAGCAGAAACAACTAAGAAACAGACTCTGAATGTGGCAGATCCTGGAAACTAAAGTGAGTAGTCAGGATTTGCATGACACACCCAGAGGGACTGTGGTCACAGGCAGCCTGGGAATAGAGCCCAGCCACCCCACCACCACCACCGCCACCGGGATGGGAGTGGGCCGGCGGACTTCCTGCCTTTTGGTCAGACAGACTGCCTTCCTGAATTACTGGGTCTAGGAAGTGGTGGTGATGGGTGGGGGAGGGTGGAGAGGTTACACGTGTCACTTACCACCCCCACACAGCCCTCTTCCTAGCTGCCACCTCCCTTCCCCGCTTAAGACCAGTTACCTAATCTGCAACATGACGAGATGGTATCTGGCATCTCTTAACGGCTCTCAAATCCCACAATTCTAGAATTCAGATACAAGACCAGTTAGCAAGAGACAGGAAAACCCCAGCCCGGCCCGCGGTGCGCTCCGTGTGATACACACACAGCAAGTGGAGGCTGAAACAATAACTGGCCCGTGCTGACCTTTGAGCCCACAGTCAGCAAGACAATGTGTCTTTCTGTGCACAGCCACATTTCATGCCCAGGTGGGTGTTACTAGCCAGAGAGAAGACAGAGCTTAGGCCGAGTAACTTGCCCAAGTATTGGCCCCAGAGGTGCAACCCCTGACCCCAGTCTCCCTCCATCTCACCATTGGATGCTGGACTATTTCTGGAAGTTTAAGGCTGGACAAACCTAACTCTCTGCTCTTCTCCCACACACCTCCGTACACTGGGGGCACTGGAAGAAACACTTCTCCCCACCTGGCTTCTCCCCAGGAACAGGATTCATCCGCCTAGTGAGTTGCGGGGAGAGGTCTGCACCTGAGGCTCAGTCCTTGTACTTCCTGGAGCAGGAGACAGGCTTCTGGGGCTCTGGCTGCAGGGGCAGCTCACAGCTGGCCACATGTGCCAAGCACTAGTAGGTAGGAGAGCCTGCCTGTCCTGGGGAGACATGTTAGCAAGGCTGCTTGGCCACACACCTGAAGCCAACTAGGCAGTAAATGCTTCGGCAGTGATGCTTTCTCTGAGTTGATTCTGAACTCAGGGAGAGGATAAGGTGTTGCTATATGTACTGGGCCCCTTAAAGTCCCACCAGTGTGGGTACCTGGTGCAGCCTTGAAGGCCAGGATGTCAGAAAGCCTGGGGATAGGATGCCTGTATTAGAACAAAACATCTCACAGCCAGAAGCTCTATATTTCTAAGAGCAGAAATATAAAGTGAGCCACACAAATGATTTAAAATTCTCCAAGATAACTACATTTCAAAGTGAAAAAGAAACAGGTAAGATTAATTACAAGGGTACATTTTCCTTAGTGCAATATGACAGAATGATCTCCATTTAATATGTGCTCAAACGGCACGTGGGCTCATGGCTGCTGTTGTGGACAACACAAGCTTACGGGCTGCCTGTCGGAATCTGCTCCCCTGACTGTGTCTCAGTGTGGAGACTGTTGGGGGGCTTAACGTAGTCCTTCATGAAACCGTTCCCCCATTTCTTTCCTCCTGAAACAAAGGATATGAAGGACCCCATCCCCAAAGAAACTTGTGCCAAAGGATCCTAGCCCACAGAAGCTGTCCAGGAAAACTGTGGAATTTGCCCACCTCCTATAGCTCCACATAAAAGCTATATGCCAGTCTCTAACTGTCCCCATCTTTGCCCTATCCAGGTGGGTCACCATCCCTTTCAGTAAGACTGGCCTAAACATCTCCTCCCTGGTCTCATCTCTGGGCACCGCTGCTTCCACCTTTCAGAGAATTCCAGGTATGGAGAGGCCCCACCTTCTGCACCTCTGTATTTCCTTGGCAGCCATATCTGGTTGCTAGAAACATCTCATTGTCCACTAGACACAAGTCCCCATTCAACTTGTTTCTGTCTCTTTGAGAGACAGCCAGAAAGGGACACACCTCTCTAGAAAGGTCCTCAGTCTTTTCTTAAACACCTGCCTCCTGTCTTTCTGGCTGCCGCCTCCCTGAGTCACTGCCCAGCACTGGTATTATTTGGTGGGACAAAGCTTTGGTGTTTTACTCACTTGAGGACAATATATTTATAATCATTATGGACACCTGTTGGTTTTGACTACCAGTATCCAGGCTTCATAATTTAGAAGAATCTTCAAATAGTGAGAACTAGGGCCCACACCTGTCACGTAGGTCTACGGGAAGCAGACATTTACCCCACTCCTCAAGGCGTTCAGCCTATTGCATGCTCATGTCTGAGATTTTGAATCCAATAGTACAGCACAAAGACCCAGAGATTGTCAGAGATTATTTATGACAGTGGTGAATCAAGAGTCCAACAGAGAGGGAGCAAGCACCCTGGGGTGGTGGCCCCATGAGTGAGAACCAGCTTCTCTTGTTTACAAACAAGGCGTTCACTGGTGAGAGAACCATAGACAAGCAGTGCCCTGTGAACAATGGCTGCTACGTGCCAAAGGAGAGCCACTGGGCAAGTCATCGTTCCTCCGTGTGTCTCTCTTAGAGTAGATCTCATGAAGGTCACTCCAGCTATGATGCACTAGATTCCTGAGTTTTTAGTACATTTTTCCTGATGATTAGGAGATATAGCTGGAAGGGAAGTGGAAAGAGGTCCAGAATGTCAGATGAACATTTCATTGCAGACCTTCAAACCACTTCTCCAAAAGTAACTCCACATCTTTGAGGTTCTAAACTCCAAGAGGTTTTCTGAAATTGAGAACAAGACTAAAATAAAAAGACTTGTGCCTTTCCCTGCTATTTCCAGGATTACTGTTTCCATGGCTACCTTGAAAGCAACCCCAAGGCCCTGGGTGTCTATGGTGGCAGAGTACAACGCAAAGCTTAGATTCAGGGCAGTCTCATCCCAGCCTGACCTCCTGATGTCGCGGGACCCTGGGCACATGGTTTTCTTCTGCTGTGTCTCAGCTCTCCACATGGAGAAAAAGGCACTGAGTGATTTTTAAGCTTCTTTCCAGTTCTGATTCTCTGTGACACTGAATCCTATAGGGGCTGGTATGCCATTGAGCTCCTCCTTACTATTTTTTTTCCATTCTTTTCTGGCTTCTGAATTAAAACAGAATTTATGTTACAAGTTTATGAATGGATGAACAAAATGTGGTAGAACCATAGCATGGAACATTATTCAGTCATAAAAAGGAATGAAGAAGTATTGATACGCTATGACATAAATGAGCCTTGAAGACATTAGGCTAAGTGAAAGACGCTAGTCACCAAAGGCCATGTATAGTATGAAATCATTTACACGAAATGTTCAGAATAGACAGATTTATAGTGACTGAAGGCCGACTTGTGGTTGCCTAGGGCTAGGGAGAAATGGGGTGTGACTGCCAGTGGATATAGGATTTCTTTGGCAGGTGATGAAACTGTTCTAAAATTGATTTTGGCTGCACGACTCTGTGCACATAGGAGAAACCCTTGAATTGTCCAATTGAAATCTGTGAATTGTATGCTGTATGAATTCTATCTGAATAAAGTTGTTAGAAAACGAGGCAACAAACATAAGAGAAATCCAATATATTTTAAAGCTGTGTTCATGGCACTGGAGAATAGCCTGGAAAGTTCAATCAACTCATAAACCAACAATTCTATGCTGTTTGGGTTTTTAAGTTACTCCCCTGGTCAATTAACAACAATTAATTGATTTGTTTGGATGTAAGTTCTTTAAAATTGCCCTTTCTCAGAAGGCCTAATTAGTAGCCTAACAGGATCAGAAAAAGGAAAGATGGGGTCTGACAAGTTTCTATGCTTGATTCCAGAAAGTTCACTGGGAGTAGTTTCCCTTTTCTCTGGACATTTTTATTAGGTTCTCATGGAAACCCTCATCTGAAAAAGAATTATTGAATAGTGCAGCTCATACCTAAAAGTACACAGGAATAACTCAAAGATCTTGTTAGAATGCAAATTCTGGCCAGGCACAGTGGTTCATGCCTGTAATCCTAGCACTTTGAAGGGCTGAGGCAGGTGGATTGCCTGAGCTCAAGGTCTCAGAAAAGTTAGAGACCAGCCTGAGCAAGAGAGAGACCCCGTATCTAAAAACTAGTCAGGCACTGTGGCGGGCACATTTAATTCCAGCTACTCTGGAGGCTGAGGCAAGAGAATCACTGGACCCCAGGAGTTTGAGGTTGCTGTGAGCTATGACACCATAGCACTGTACCCAGGGGCACAAAGGGAGACTCTGTCTCCAAAAAAAAAAAAAAAAGCAAATTCTAAAGCCATATGCCTTTATGTACAACACTGTTCCAACCTATGATTTTATTTAAAAGGATTTGGAATAATTTTAAAAAATGCAAATTCCAAGTCAGTAGGTTTGAAGTAGGGCCTGAGAATCTGCATTTCCAACAAGTTCTCCAGAATTGCAGCTGCTGTGCCCCTCATACCACACTGCCAGTGAGGCAGCCTGAATCGAGCACTGGCAATATGGCTAGTCTGAACGGAGGGCTGAAGGAAGTAAAGGAATAAGACAATCTAAGTGATGTCAGGATAAAAGATATCCTGAATTTCAAAGACTTAGTGCAGAAAGAAGGAATATAAAATAATTTTTATAGTAGTTGCATGTTAGAATAATAATATTTTAGGTATTTTTGAAGAACTAAAGTGTGTTATTAAAAACTTAGAAATTTTATTTATGAAAGAGACTGGTAGCCCCTTCTCCAGTATTTACCTCTCCTTCCTAAATAATAGACTTTCACCATAAAATGTTTAATGATGGGTATCTCATGGGCATGTCAGATATCTGACATGCCTATTACACATTGTATGCATGTATCAAAATATCACATGTACTCTATAAATATGAACATCTAACACATATTGATAAAAATTAAAAATTAAAAAATTGTAAAAAAAAAAAAGTAACACAGTAAACCCCTGGAATAAAGACTATATTCCCTAGCTTCCCTTGCAGCTAGGTGGGTCTGTGTGACTAGTCAGACCAATTCTAAGAACCTTCCTTAAGAGAGTACAAAGATATGCACCCTTCATTCTTTCCTTCATCCTAATGCCTAGAATGGAGAGGTGTTGTCATCTTGGGCTGTGGCATCAAAGCCATGCACAACAGAGCAACCGTATGTAAATGCCATGATGGCAGGGACTTTGGTCTGTTTCCCTCTCCTCAACTGCTGTAACCCAAGTGTCTAATTGGCACTAAGGTCTTTTGCGGGGGGGGGGGTTGTTTTTTGTTTTTCACTAAGTGAATGAATAAATGAACAAGCTTGGATCTCTGATACTGAGGAGGAAATGTCAGCCTAGACCATCCACCTGGACTTTGACATGAGAAACAAATTGCTGCCTTGTTTGAACCCAAGTCTAACCCTAATCATACAATATTGAAAAGCCCCATATCACTTTTAGAAACCCAAGATGATTTGAACAGTAAGTACACTGGATTTTCAGGTAAAATATGAAAATTGTTTTGAATTAAAATGTAAATTAATAAAATTAAAAATATAAAAACCTAGAA